TCGACGCTCCAGCGACCACCGACTTCAAGACCGAGGACAACCAGGCGGCACCGACGGGCGTCGGCGAACTCAGGGTAGGCACGCTCTTTGGCCCGGTGCTTCGGCCAACGCTGCTCCAGCGGTGCTGCCTCTCAGGCGCCGGGGCACACCGGCAGAAGTAAGTGGCGAGACCAGTGTAGTGTCAACGGCAAGTTGCGAGCCTCCCCACAACGGCAGGCCATTGGCTATCACCTCGATGCGGCGCTCATCATGCCTGTGTAACCTGGAGGTTTTCAGGTCTCGCACCAGGACGTGTGTGGCGACAGCGGCACCAGCCTCACGGCAGACCCGGGCAGCTGCACGTTCCAGCGGCCCACTCCGTGCCCTGAGAACACCAAACCGAGGGCAGGCAGCGACGTGGTCACCCCAAAGGATCAAGCGGACGCCCACAGCGGCATCGCGCAGGAGCAATTGGCAAAGGGAGCCGCAAGCGACGGAGGACCCGGAACAGCGCAAAGTCGAGGGCGAGCTCTGGGTCAACAGGGCGAACATTGAGCAACTTGGCGGCGAAGGGGCCGGACTGTGAGTCAAGGAGTGCGAGCTCCGCAGGTCCGACGGCGCGGCTGTGCTCGGCAAAGGCACGATCATCGAGGACGCGAGAAGCAGAGCGTTGCCAGCCCCGATAGGGACATCGGGGTCATCGGGGTCGGCATCGTCAGCGGCAGGTGCAGGGCCATGCCGGGGCATATCAGCCCACCGCGGAACCGCAAAACCAGCCTCAGCAAGGGCATCGGAGGCCTGGGGCTTGCACCAGGGAAGTGACAAGCGGTGCGCCTCGGACACGAAGGACGGCAACGGCGTCAGCCCAGGACGACCGGTAAGCTGCAGGCGCGTGCAGGGCTGCACTACGCAACCCAAGACCGCCATGACGAAGAGCAAGCTGTGCAACACGAGCAGCTGCCGGCGGCAAGGGGGACGACCCCTCCGCAAGCAACAACGCGCTCAAAGCTGTGAGCACACGTTCGTCGTGTGCGTGTGCAAAGTCCTGTGTCAAGAGAGGTGGAAGAGTGCGCAGGGCAAACTGTGCGCGGGGGGCAGCTGTGTAGAATAACAGCAGCCAAGAGACCTGTGTGTCACAGAGCCCGGGTAACGACGAAAGCAGAGCCTCGTGCCGGGTGGAAAGAGTTTGCAAGTGCCTGGCGACAAACTGCGGCTCACCGAAAGGAGTACCGAGCAGCACTATGCCACGTGATGAAGAATCCAGGGCAGGGTCCCCGAACCACACACGTGTAGCCGACGAGAGCTCTCTCAAACCTTCCGGGGCAAGGCCAGCGCCGTTCCAAATGGCGGTCTTGCCCACAATGAGGCGCAGGCGAGTGTCACGAGCAAGGTGGTGCTCGGAACGACGGACAAGATGCAACACACGCTCGGGGACAGCGAGGATGGTGACATCATCAAGGTAAGCATAGGTAAGCCAAAA